CCCCAAAACCCCAAAACCCCAAAACCCCAAAACCCCTTAGGATAATCTTTGAATTGAACTACTAAATAAGTAAAAACACTTCTTAAGCAAACATCCATACTGGGATAAAAGTTTAAAACATTTAAAAGTTACAGAGACCAAATTAGACAGATATATGGCACTGTAGAAAGTATTAAAAATATCTTCGAAATATTAAAGTTAAGGTATAAACTCGATCATTGTCATTTTATTAGACTGCTTAATTAACAAAACTTCTTGTCTCGATATCGTTGATCTTTTCAAATTGAGGTACACAAGTTTTACAAACCCGGACCCGCTCATCTCTATACCCTCCGACATATTCTCTATGAGGAGAGCATGCATCTCAGACGAGGATTCCTCAGCTTCTGCAGTGATGTTTTCTATACAGAACGGTGAACTCAGTTTTGCAGATCTGTCAATTTTCATAGGCGTCGTTTGGGATCCATCGGATTCTTTCATTCTCAAAAATAAGGTCTTCTGCATCCTTATCGTCTAAATTTCCTGCAGAATCAAGTCCATGTAAATTCGAAAGATATTCCTTGTCATCGTCATGATCATCTGAGTAATTCTTGTGTTTTCCAAATCTGCCTGAATATATGCTTGTTTTCTTAATCATTGAACTCTTCTTAAAAGATCTCCTGGAGTCATGAAGCGACAGCATCTTCTTCCCTTCAGAGTGGCTTCTAGAGTGCAGTCCCTCGAAATTAATCCCAGAGTTTTTGAAACTAGGAGCTTTATGAGCATTAGTCTCTGAAAATAAAGAGATATTCTCACGATAATCTAGTAAAAGCTGCTCAATTTTATCCTGTAAGTTCTCTATAGGTAGAAATTGAGGGTCATTAAAGTCAGATTCAGATTCGGACTCGTTAAAATCCACCTTCGCAGGTGGGCTTTCCCTCTCGGAAAGGTACATCTTACATGACCTTTTAATAATCTTGCTTAAGCTTTTTATGACATTATTCATTTTGTTCATAGTTTGTCGTAGATAATGGTTTTCAAATAATATTTTCTGCAACTCTTTCTCTATTTTGGAGGAATAATACTGCATTGAGAATTTCTCAGCCTCAAAATTTCACCTGAGCTTGATAAGCTCTTCCCTTAACAGATTATTTTGCTTCATAACATTGTCCCCAGGACCAAACTTTGGAGAAGGATCCTCATCAAAGGCGTATTTTGAGTATGGAAGTGGAGTTTCAGGCTCGTATTGAGTATCTCTGGTATAATCAGGATGTTCTGCCATATTTTGGGAACCATTAAGCGCCTCCGAGTTCCGTGATTCTTGTCTCCTTATACGAAACAGCTTGATCAAGTTGTCTGGATTCTTTTCATCAAAGGTTGGTCTCATTATTATTCTATATTAATTTATAAAAAGGGGTTTTGGGGTTTTGGGGTTTTGGGGTTTTGGGG